GATGACTATATCTTAGAAAGAGAACATTATCATTTTCCCGCACATTTAAACTACTGGGATTTCAGGCGATTTAACCCCCCACCGGGGTTCCTTCCGGCCAGCCCCGCCGCCACCGTCCTCCCCGGAAATCTCCTCCAACGACATTCCTTTCGTCTCCGGCAGCATAAACGTGAAGCAGAACCCCAACATATTGGTAAACGCCAAAACCATCAGCGCATGTCGAATCCTCCCTACGTTCTCGTCCAACGTATACGACTGCACCACAAACGCGCCGATCATCGCCCCGGCTTTCCCCGCCGCCGCGCTCAACGCATGACACGTGGACCTCAGTCGGGTCGGGAACAGTTCTGCGGGCCAGACAAACGTAGTCGAATTGGGCCCAAAGTTCGCGAAGAAGAACGTGAGCCCGTAAGTAAGCGCAAACAGGCCCTTGTTGTTGTCCCTCAAGTACTCATAATTGATCCCCATTATCAACAAGAAGATCGACATCATGAGAAAGCCCAACAACTGGATGACGTAACGGCCCAACTTCTCGATAAACGCCACGGTGAACCAATACCCGGGGAACGTCCCCAAAAGCGCCACCAGAAACATGGCCCGCGAGGTCTCCCAGACTTCCTCCAGCGCGTTGACGTCTTGGGCCTTGTTGACCAGGCCCATTGCTGGGAATATATCCTTTTGCGTCAGGTTCTGGCTGTAGAACGCGATGTCGAGGAAGAACCACGTGGACATGGTCCCCACCAGGTGGAGCCCGTGGCGGCTGTAGAATTCGTTGGACAGGATCGGGTACATGTTGGACTGCTTGAACTCCATCACTTTGTCTTGTTCCTCCTCGATCTCCATGTTGAGGACACGTGTCATGTCCTTGGCGGCCTGCTCAGCGTTGCCGCGGATGAGGGCGGTGTACCTCCCGGTCTCTGGCATCTTCATCCGCCAGATGTAGGTCAGCGCCGCCGGCAGGGCGCCGAGCATGAGGACGAGCCGCCACAGCAAGTCGCCCTGAGGCTGCGTGGACAGGATCTCGTTCTCCGTGAATGTCGGGGCGAGATTTTCGACGAGGAAGATTTTGGCCATGATCATGGAGACAAGTCCGGCGAAGATGATCCCCACGCCTTGCATGGCGAAGACTGCCGCGATGAACGCGCCGCGTGTCTTCTTGTTGGCGTACTCGCACATGATCGTCGCGGATAAGGGGTAGTCGCCGCCGATCCCGAATCCCAACCAAAACCTAAACCAATATAGCAAGTGACAACAATTAAAGCTACCAAGTTGGGCAAGGAAATGTTCATTATAGCTAAAAATCCTAACAAAAAATGCCTATGTGTAATCCGACTTTTAATAGGAAAAATTAGTGGTTTATGGTTCAGCGATAAACTGTTATAGAATCATTGGTTATACATTGCATAAACCGTTCATGAGCTATAACATAAAAGACATATATAATACACTAATTCATAACTGAATTTATCACTAATCATAAACAATTTCAAATCCATACCATCCATCACCGAAATTTCTAACACATCATGCAAAACATTCTCACAAAACAAATCATCAAAATTTTCATCAAAATTCAAGTAAGTAATTAGGGTGGCAATCGATAGCAAGTCACGTAAAGTTGACAAGGAGGTTGGAAAATAAAGGGGAAAAAAGCCGAGAATAAACTAGTAATTTAGGTTGGATGATTTTAGTTTACGTCGGAAGTTTTTACTTAATTTATAATCGTAAAAATAATGAACCAGTTAACCAGCCAAATCAGGATGATTCATGGAGTCATATCCAACCATTTAAATCGTCCGGCCCGACCCATCCTGAACCGTCCAAGTAAATGATTCGAACCGCGCTATTGTAATTGGTTTGACGATCCTGCTGGTCCAATGGCTAATCCGATTCAATTTCTATAACAAGGCAAAATACCAACAAATCAAACAAAAGGATCGATCACTACTCCGTCTCATTCCTTTCTTATTGGAAACCGGTTCTCACCTGAAGAAGCAGAGCGACCCAATAACCGACTTGGTGGTTGAACCGAACGAGATCCCGGAGCAAACGGCGCAAACCACCATGATAACAAGGGTGATTCCATAAACCCTCTTCCGGCCGAGCTTGTCCCCAAGCCAGCCGAAGAACAGCTGCCCGCAGAACATCCCGACCAAGGCGACGCCGCTGACCGTGTTGTTGACGAACTGGGGCAGCTTCCCGGGCTGCCCGGCGGCCGGGTCGTAGTAGTAGAGGCGGCCGAGGAGCTTGGAGACGGCGGTGATGCAGAAGAGGTCGTATGCGTCGGTGAAGAACCCCATCCCGGCGATGATGATGGCCTTGACGTGGTACCATTGGGTCCTGGCGTTGTCCAGCGCCGTTAGGACCGCCAGATTGTTGTTGTTGTTGGAAGAAGTCGCCATGTCGTCGTACGTACGTCTTAGGGGTTTTTTTTTTTTTTTTGTGTGGTTCTAATCGACATTTCTGGTCTGGTTTTGGAGGGGATTAATATAGTTGGTGATGATGTGAGAAAAGGGTGGACGTGGGAAGCTATGGAGAAGAGGGGGGAACATCGATGGAATGTGGAATATTATGTTAAGGTATTATACCATAAACGCTTTTTTAATGTGGTTTTAAGTTTTGATGGATATGCTAATATTTTATGAGGGATTTTTTTTGGGTCGTTTTGTTTGGAAGTGTTGCATGGTCTTTGGTATTGATGACGGATTTCAAGCCTCCCCTCTTTACATATTTGCATATAATATCTCAATTACACGAGATTTAGGACATTTTTATTATTGATGATGATTGTGATCAACCATGCATCAACAAAAACAAAAATATAAATATCATTAAAGAGGAGGAGGGAATACCAAGATAAGCCAATAATACTCTAGAAGCACCTCAACTATGCTGTAGGCAAGTATGGCCAAACTGCAAAATGCAAAGAAGGATACAAGTTAAGGTGTCAATTTCTTGTCAGGAAGGTTCATGTCATGACCAAAAGAGCAACCAATATATAAGTCCTGCTAGGATGGCTTCCCACATCTCATTTGTTGCCAAATACTAACAAAATCTATTTCATAAAATATGTGTAATCCTTCACAATGTGCGTGTCAATATGCTACTCGATATGGTAAACTGAATACTGATCATCAAAATCTGTTTAATATGAAGATATACTCAATAATTACATCCAATTGACATATTTTTAAGCGTAAAAATATATATCATGGTGCATAACGAAATAGTCATCCTCTTCCTCCCCTATTTGAGGCACTTAGTCCCTGATTTTCACCACATCTTGTCCTATATATATAGTTCCCCATCGATTCACTAACCGATTGATTGGTGTGTCATTACTATAGGCGACGAAGATGTGGTAGATAATATCAAGGGACAAACATTAGTCCATGAAACCCAATTGCAAGGCCGAAAAGTTATCATGACGCCTCTAGGGACAAAACACATAATGCTATTCATGTATTTTTGTGCTCATTCACGTTATTTGATGTTTATTCACGTAAAACTATGTTTATTCATGTAAGAGTGTTAGTTATTTACGTAAATGGAAATTCAGACCCCCCTCCAATAATTTGTATTGGCTATATTTTATGGAATCAAATTTGGATTCTCAATTAATATGCTAGAAGGAGTTGCATTGATCATAATCTACAATGACATCCATTTTGATATACTTCAAAGTTCAAAACTTGATATTACAACAACGTGAATAAACACCAGACTGCGTGACATAACATTATTGGTTGCGTCTAGAAGCGACGAGATACTCGATTCTCGCAAGGCTGGAGGCAAAGCTGGCAGTAGTACTCTTGATCGTGACCTGCTTCGTCCATGGAGCAATCCTCTTTCACTTCCTCTTCTTCCTTCCCCTGCAGCAGCAACAACTTCTCCATCTCCTGTATTTCCTCCTCATTGTATGTGCGAAGATGTGGTAGAAATCAGGGGACAAACGAGTCATGAAACCCAATTGCAGGGCTGGTCACAAATCGTGACCTGCTTCGGCCATTGGAGCAATCCTCTTCCACTTCCTCGTCTTTCTCTCCTGCAACAGGATTCAGCAACTTCTTCAGAACTGTTCATCTCCTGTATTTCCTTCTTGGGTAGTTGCTTCTCTGCAATTTGAAGGAGCAGAGTAATAAACCTTGACTTATCAAGCATTTTAAGGTGGGGAATAGAGGAGGGGAATATGGAATTAGGTGATGCACACATATTAGGCCAAGAGGCAGTAGAGAGGTCATGCGGGAGTAGTGAATATTGTTTGGGAGAAGTTTTTGCTGAATCGACAACCAATTTGGGCGTGGTCAATTTACCATATATTATCCCAATTCACAATTTTGAAATAGTAATTATCCTCGTCATTAGAAATGCATGAGATGTAATATGATTTGAGTTTGGTTGCGTACTCTTGATAATGAGTTATTTTACCCCCCCTAAAACAAGCACTTAATAATCAAGAATTTGCGAACGAGATCGTGGCCGAGTAGTCGTGCTGCTGGTTTTCAGCTTGGAGCCCCCCAAGTTTGAATCCCAGGGACGACTATTGTTTTCCCCATTCCTTCACTCCTCTAGTACTAGCACCTTGTCACGAGTCTATGTAAAAAAACAAGAATTTTTTCAATAGCAAAGAAGATCTCTTTGATGATTTAAAAAAGCAAAGATATATTCTTTTAGAGGTCGTTTGGATGAGGAATTCTAACGGATCAATTTGAACTAATTGTTACATTTTGAGATGAGACAATCTGACCAAATAGATCCGTTTGACAGCACAAAATTTAGATGAAGCAATTTTACCCCGGAAAATTTCATATTGATTTGTTTTGAGGCAATTACAAGTGTATAGGCTGAAGCTGACAATTTAAATTGTATCATCATTTCAAATTATTCGTTTTGTAAAATGAAATAATTGACAAAATTATATCTTTTTTCAGTTGATCTCCCTTAAGTAATTTTTGGCTGCAACTGATTAGGCTTATTGGTTAAGAGAAGCCCGGCCCAATTAACAACCGAGCGGGAAGCCCGCTTTGAGTTTTGACTGTAACCGAGAGAATTTCGAAAACCCGGCAAAAAATTCTCGAACCAACCATTTCCCCCAACTTCCCTTATTCCACCTGCTTCCAGCCTTTTCTCTCTCTGCAACTCTGGCCGTCCGCCATGAGGTGGGATATGGAGGTCGAAGAAATCGAAGTCGTCCTCGAGAAGATTTGGGATCTCCACGACAAGCTCAGCGACGCCATCCACACCATCTCCCGAGCTCACTTCCTCAACTCAATTAAGAACCTCCGGCGGCCCGACGCCAAGAAGAAGCTCTTCGGCGACGCCGCCGAGGACAACAGGGGAGCCGGCGGCGGCGGAGGCGGGGGAGGAGGAGGGGGAGGGTACGTCTTCGTCAAGGAGCTCCGTGTCGACGATAACGAGTCGTCGATTCGAGAGGCTAAGAGCCTCAACGCCATCAGGACCGCGCTCGAGAACCTCGGGGAGCAGCTGGAGTTCTTCCATGTGAGTTCGCTCATTTCCGCTTTCTAGGGTTTCATTTCCGGTTTGCGTTTAGCTTAATTTGGTCGCCGGCTAGGGGGAAATAGTTGGTGGTGGGTGGTTAAGCATGAAATTAGGCATTTTCTGGTTTTCTTTGGTTTTGATTGGTCCCAGAGAAAATGTTGTTGGGAAAATCTGGTAATGGGATATCGTGCTTTCTGTTTATTCCTTTCTTATATTGGAAGCAACGATTGCCCAGCTACATAGCCAATTTGGAAGATTTCGTGAGTCGTTATACAGAAATCTGATTAATTGTACTGCTATAGGGTTTAGTAAAGCTGCATTGGGCTGAGCAAATTGGTTCTGAAATTTCTTCCTCCCTGGATTGTGTTTCGCAGACTGTGCAGATGCAGCAGCGGGCAGAGAGAGATGCAGCGATAGCACGACTAGAGCAAACCAGGATAGTTCTGTCACTGAGATTGGCCGAACACCATGGCAAGAAGTACAATGTCATCGAAGAAGCTCTGGCCTTCATTGGCGATGTACACGATGCAAGCCGTTTCGTCTCTCCCGACAACCTGTACTCAACTCCTGAAAGTCCAGGCGGCGAGAAGAACCTCCTCACTAAGCACCGAGGAAATATCGTGGTAAACGTCCTTCTATCCAGTTTAGATTTCACCAAGAGATTGCTTAGACTGGATAATGCGGGTGGTGTGCTAGGAAATGCTGCATTGTTTGCTGTGAGCATGCTTGCATTGCTTCACATGCAGCAACAACAAGCAGTGTCGAAAGACGATGCTTATAGTAAACAAGGACATCCCTTGTATAGGAAGAAAGCATCTGAGAAAGAAGGGTCATCCTCCGAATTGAATGTGATGTTGGCAAGGGGTTGAAGGCTGCTGCAAATGGGAAGTTTTTTCTCTGGCTGATCTGAATAACGGCTGAAGTTTTCGGGGTGCAGAATCAGAGATGTTTTGATTTATTCCTGGAGTAGAAGCTAGAGTGAAGATTACACAAATGTTTTCTGAGGTGCCCTATTTTTTAGGAATGTTAAATGAGTGTTTTAGGGTTCTTGTTGCCAAGTTTTAACCCTCCCTGAGGAATCTTCTGTGTGTGTATATATAACAGTACCCCACTTGCTAACTAGCTTTTCTTTTGCTTTGTCTTTACGTGTGTGCCAAGTTTTGTGCGATTCCAGCCTCTTCTATTTGGTGTGCAAAAATGTGTGGAAGGTGGCCAATTGGGGTCCGCTTTGATTATTTGATTTATTGAGGTGCCATTGATGTAACACGATTTGGTTTGGCGGTTTGGTTGAAGTGAAACCTTCGAGTCTTTTTCAGTGAATGGGATTGTTAATTGGGTTTTGCTGTTTGTTTTGTTAAGTTTTGAAGGGCCTAGTCTTGTCACAGTTCTGGGCTGTGTGCTCCGTATGCTTAATAATAGGACCCTTGGCTCTCCACAAAGTCCATGCCAGATATCCAGACTGATGATGGTTTTGCTTTTGCTCCGTTTAATACTCCACAAAGCCCATACAAGATATCCTGCTCCGTAGTTGCCAAATATTCCGTTTTAATTCGACGTATAGGAATAGGAGTATAGGACCCTAGGTTCCTCGAATGTAGCCCAAATATATTTATTATTGGGTTAATTGCATGGTTGATCACTGTGATTACAAAAAACGTTCAAGTTTGGTCACTCGAAATATTTAAATCCATTGGTGGTACTTCAGTTTACTGAAATCGTTCACGTTTGGTCACTCTCCGTCCAACTCCGTTAACTTTTGCTTACGTGGCAGTCAACTCTAAAAGTTGATCGTTAAATGTATGACGTGACAATTTAAAAATAATTAAATAAATAAATTTTATTTTTTGAAAATTCTCACCTCATTTCTAACTATTAAAAAAATAAAAATTATTAAATTAAGAATCAAGACCGATGCCAACGCTGCAAAACCAGAACCACCACCTCATTCTTCATCCTACGACGGTGGGTCTCTCCTACGTCTCCGATTCCCCTTTCTTCACCTTCATTCATGGTGCTCGTAGACGTTGGTGTTTTCGCTTTCACTTTTCCTCTCCGCTGCGCCATTAGGTCGAACAGTTTCCTTAATCAACCTCACCACTTCATCCATGGTGGGCCGTATCTCGGGACCCTTCACCACGCAAGCCAGCGCGATCTGCAGCATCTGCACCATATCCTCCTCCACGCTCTGGCTGCTCACCAGCTCCGCATCGAAAACCTCCGTCGTCCACTCCTCCCTCACCATCGACCTCACCCACCTCGGCAGATCCACCACCTCGTCGTACGCACTACCGCCGCCAGGGGGACTTCTCATCGGTGCTTTCCCCGTCAAGTAGGGGTGGGCGTTCGGTCGGTTCGGTTTGAACCGAACCGAACCAGAACACCCCGAATTTCCGAGCTTTCCAAGACCCCGACCGAATTCGAACCGAAATATATTTCGGTTCGGTTTGGTCGAACCGAAATATATCTCGGTTCGGCTCGTTTTTTTGCCATAAACCGAAAACCACACATATATTCTGCCATCCTCACTTCCCCGTTTTTTTTCTTTGCTTTCCATCATTCAGCTTTGGAGAGAGTTCTTTTCTGTGGCTTCTGTTGGAGACTCTCTCTGTGCTTTCCCCCCTCCCTTTTCCCCTTTCTCCTTTCTTTCTTTCTCTTTAGCTATGGCGGAAGGGTATCATGAGGCCTACCATGTCCCACAACAAAGCCGAAGAGATAAGCTCCGAGTTGTGGCTCACAGCAACCAGAACCACACCATTCACAATCATCTCTACGATCCTTGTTCCTTCCTTTCCCCTTCTTCTTCCTTCTCTCCTCACAATTTCATGGGCTTCGTCAACAACTACGCGGATCCCACTACCAATCCTCATAATCTCCACATAAACCCTAGCAGCTCCGAGATCCACCACCTCCACAACTCCAGCGCCCCCTTCCTCAATTTCCCCAACCACCACCCATCCCCTTCCCCTTACGCCAGCGACGGCCTCATCCTCTTCAAGCCGGAGCCCCTATCTCTCTCCTTGTCGTCTTCCCACCACCACCACAGCGCTGCATGTCAGGGAGCTATTCTCCTCTTCCGTCATGGTGTCTACATGTCGGAGCGAAGGTCGATCTGATGGCGGAGCGATGGCCGATCTAATGGCGGATAGCTAGGCGGTGGCGGCCGCTATTTGGAGAGGATGGGTGGCGACCGCTGTGATGTGAGGCTAGGGTTTGGAGAGGATGAGGTTGACTGTGGGCTGGGTTTCTGTGTGGGCTGGGTTTCTGTGTGGGCTGGGTTTCTGTGGGCTGGAGAGTGGTATTGGATGGGTTTAGTTAGGGGTGTGGGTTATATTTCGGTTTTCAGTTCGGAATTCGGAATTCCGGTTTCGGTTGAGAGCATCCTGGTTTCCGAAGTAACCAGTTTCCACTTCCGAATTCCGAACCGAACAGCAATATATCGGTTTTGGTTCGGTCGACTTCGGTTTCGGGTCGGGTCGGTTCGGGTTTATCGAACCGGATGCCCACCCCTACCGTCAAGGCTTCCATCAGCAGGACGCTGAAGCTGTAGACGTCTGATTTTTGGCTGGGTTTTCAGGTCTCGATCACTTCGGGAGCTCTGTACCCCTTAGTTCGAGACATTGTGGTCAGGAAGTTCATCAGTGGAGCTAGACCCACGTCGGAGATGCAGGCGTCGAGGTCGGCGGTGAGGAGGACGTTGGAGGATTTGATGTTTCCATGACGGATTTGGCACCATCGGCGGTGGAGGATGAGGTTGTGCCGTCGAATTGGGAGTGAATGTGGGCGATTCCCCTCACCGCTCCGATAATTATCTTCATTCTTGGTTCCCAACCTAATGGCGTTCTGCTTCCTTCTCTGCTTCCCCTGTTTCCTGTCCCCGATTTAATGTTCTAGAGTTGACTCAACCCTAATTCGATTCTGTTAAGGGCATATCAAAATCCTAATTTTGTCAATTGAATGTTGAATTGTCAGTTGAGTGAACCTCCCCTGTTTTCATATATATGGTGCCTTCTACGGTACCCCGGGTGATTTTTGGGCATGATACTATATCCTAACCCGTATTGAGTGAACCCTAGGTCCTAATTATCTAAATCATAAACTATAAACCCTAAGATGGTGCATTCATTTTTTTGCCTATATTTGGACGAATCATAACCATCGATTATTGTTTCTAATTAAATTGATCTTAGAGTATAAGATTTAGAGAAATAAGTCCTAGATTTTGATCTTCAAGGGTTAGAGTATAGTATCATGTCAGAAAGATCAGTCAATTCAAGGTCTGGTTAGTGTTTTCATACTCAAGGTACGCGGTACCCGGGATTTAACGGACAACTTTTAGAGTTGACTGCCACGTAAGCAAAAGTTAACGGAGAGTGACCAAACGTGAACGGTTTCAGTAAACTGAAGTACCACCAATGAATTTAAATATTTCGAGTGACCAAATTTGAACGTTTTTTGTAATCTCAGTGACCAACCATGCAATTAACCCATTTATTATTATTTGGTGATAAGATTTTATATATTTAATTAATTTATTTTATAATAAGATATTTACTTACTTTCACTCGCCTCCTACTTTTTCTTCAAAACAACAATTTTTCCCTCCACTTGCACTCAACCACTCACATCAATCTACACCTCCAATAATTTATCACTCAATTTGCATCTCACCTGAATTTGCACTCTCCTTGTTTGTCGTTGTCAAACATAGCGTAATGTGGGATGACACCCTCTACCGGGGGCTAGCAATAAAAAAAAAGGAATAACAACTTGTTTATTGAGGTGATACAATATGATTCGATCGGAAAAAATCTCCTACTGAAGGCTAAATTAATTGGAGTTTTAGAAGTATAAAATTGATCAACCACGTTTAAGTCATGGTCTCGACATCATGTTGACTTTTTCCCCGATATAACCTCTAGTACAAACTGTACTATTTGTTGAAACTCAGCCAGAATCTGAACCCATGATCAATAACTTTCAAAGTAAACTCGATTTGACTCCGCCGGTTAATCAATTAAAAGGAATGGAAACCAGAATCACGGCGGCATGACGGCCCACCCATGATCAACGCCAGGAATTAGTTGTGCGGCGGCCGTGAAACCGGTTAGCTCGGCATGCGGCATGCCATTGAGCCCCGCAAGAAAACACCAAAGAACTCCGAGGTACGGATCGTTTCCCCGGCTGGGTTTGACCGTTAGAATCTCTTTATTAATTGGTACCATCTTATCGGTTCCTAAAATGGTCAACCCAAATATACGGATGGGAGGCGGGCGTGAAACCGGTAAGATCGGCGCGCGGCATGCCATATTGCCATTCAGCCATGGGAGGAAGGAACAACACAAGTCGCGGATCCAGGACTTAGGTGAGCACTAAATCGCATGTCCACATCTTGTTAGAAAATTAGATATTGTAAAAAAATTAATAATCATATTTTTTTTGGTACAATGTCGATTGTACACGACGGTCTTTTAACTAGCTAATTCATTAATAATGGAGTCTACATACATACCAATAGCATATATATACTCTTTTTCAAATAATATAGTTAAGGAAATGGGAGAGAAACTCATCGCTCTATTTACTTGCGCAAATCAGTTTTCACATGTGTTATCGTTGAAAAGGTCTTCTATGTAGTAGGTCACTGAGAAGGGCAACGTCGAGGACTAGACAAATCAATCGACTAATCGATTTGTATTGTCTGTCCATCCCTATTTCCACCAACTACTCTAGTAATTTTCAAAGGAACAAACCTCATATTTCTTTTAGTCTTGTAAGTTTCATCGTCTATTATTTCTAGACGATGCGCCGCTGGAAGAACACCAAAGGACTTCGAGGTACGTATTGTCCCCGTTTAGGTTTGACCATTCTGATCTTTTATTAATCATAATTAATTAATTAGTGTGATCTCATGGATCGGGTTCCTAATAAAACTGGTCAACCCGAATATCCGGATGGGCCCTATTAGTACACATCATTGTCCCTAAATGAACCCTAAAGCGGCCACTAATCACCCCTTAAAATATGGATGAACTTTTTGTTTTTGCCTCTTTAACTATACACAAGGAATATGTTCCAACCGTTAGATAATATAGTCCCTTTAATTAGTCCAACATGATTCCAAAATTAGGTGCTACCAATGTGGAATATTGACAAGAAACAAAAAACAAATTAAGTTCAACAATTCCACCTGTGCTCTAGCCACCTTTCTCGCGATGTCCACTAATCTTGATTCACTTGTGGCACAAAAAATGGATGTGGTTAATTAGGTCAACACGTAATTTACAGGTGGAAAGGAAACAACAATACACACATCGAGAAAGTGGAAACAATCCGTACGTACTTTATTTGTTTAAAACTTCTGTATCCGTATTATTGTCAAACCATTTTATTTTTGTCCGTTCATTGATAGCTCCCGTATTAAACACGTATAAAACTCGTATACCACGTTTAATATCCATATTTAATGAATTAAATTATTAACTTTACTATTATTTATTCATTTTTTAAAAATAATTACTTTTATTTATTTAGGGTTATCAACGTACTATTAAACGTAACATTAGCATAGACTAAGTAAAATACCCGTACTTGTTTTATACGTAACTTTCCCGTAGCGTATTTTACTAACCATGATAATCAGCATTCAACAAGCCCTTACTTTGTCAATTAACTTCACACCGCAAGTTTTCTTCTTCATTTCTTTATAAAAAAATTTACTTTGATATTGATGTAAGATTCGGTTCAAAAATAAAACAGACATATGATCTATGTATATTTCTAATCATCCCAATTACAATCGGAATAAGTGATATTATACGTGTTGCTTCTTTCTCGGCACAACCCGTCAAGAAAATTCTTATGTTCGGTCAGGTTCATAATAGATCTTATCAAATAGCTTGACGTGCCCTAACTCACGAATCAAGAAAATTTTCTGCTTGAAGGCGCATAAGAAGCCTTAGGGTTTTTATTTTGGTTTATTATTGATTGACGAATAAACCCTACAAAATACTCTGCCCAAACAATCCCTACAAACTCGAAAAAGTCAATTAATAATAATAGTAAACAACAAACTGACACTAATCTAACAACTAATAATTATCCCAACAGCTAATAATCTAAGCAATAGAAATGGATTTAGAAGCATACACTTCGTGTACACAAGATTGAGTTGATCACACGAAACGGTAAATAGTCAAAACGCAATGAGTTTTAGTCTTCCCTTCAAATGGGCCCGGTAATATG